TGGCAGTGTGTGACGTATTCAGCAGTCTTTACCAGCACCACAATTCAAGTGCATCGGCTCATCTTGTGTATTTTGGATTAATTTTCCAGCTTTCACATGCATGCGAGGTGATTGAAAATGCCATGCTTTGGGTCAGCCACACTTTAGTCCTCAAAACAACTTCTTTGCATTTTATCTTTTATTATTATTTGTGCATGTACCATCAAATCAGATCTGACTAGTACAGGAGGAGATTGTCCCCGCTTCTCCAGCAGAGCATCTGGTGGATTCGAACCAGGCACCTCTGGGATTGCAGTGCAGTTTCTTGCCACTAGGCCACCAGAGCTCCCTGCTTTTTATCGTTTTTAAATAATACTTCGACAGATTGTTTTGATTTTTTTAAAAAATAAGACCTCATTCTGATTACTCTGAGAAGAAAAAAATTTGGAGGTGTGAGGTGTAATAAACAACTTTGAGACTTTCTTGAGGTAAAAGTGTGTATTGCAAAAAAAGCAATCCAACAATTTCTACATGTTTAATTTAGTGGTACTAAATGGTTAAACTTCATGTTGTGTGGTTGTCATTGTTAGGTATAAACTCTGCCTGATCCTGCATATCCTTTTCCAAATTATTTTATCACCATTAACATAACCTCAATACTCCTAAATCTCTCCTTTTCCCCCTCAGTCCCACCAGTGAGTAGTCTGGTTTTATCTTTTTTTTTTTTTTTTCATTTCCGTGAGACCTACAGTATTTATCCTTCTGTGACTACCTTATTTCACTCAGTATAATGTTGTACAATTTATATTGTAGCATATATCAGGCCTTCACTTACTGTTGTGACTGTGTATATACCACATTTCTTTATCCATTCATCTGTTGATAGATTGTTTCTACTTTCTGACTATTGTGAAAAGTGTTTCCATTAGTACAGGTCTTTTGTATGCTCAGAAATCCTGTATCTGAATTCAACTCCTTGAGGACCCACCAAACTGTCTTTCACAGTAGCCATACATTTTACATTCTGACCAGCAGTGGATGAGAGTTCCAATAGTTTCTTCACAACCGTAATAGCACTTGCTGTTTTCATTTTATCATTGTCATTTTAATAACACTAGGATGGTATCTGATTATGGTTTTGGTTTGCACCTTGCTTGGAAAAGTAGAGGGTCTGCAAAAGAGAGGAAGAGTAGCAATGAGATGACTTGACACAGTGACTGCAACAATGGGCTTGAAGGTGGCCGAGGCTGTGAGATGGTCCAGGATCAGCAAGGTGCAGCTTGGTGCAGTTGTTTGCAGGGTCACTATGGGTTCAAGTCAGCTTGGCAGCAGCTAGCTGACAGCGCTGTCATCTAAAGATGCTCTGGCCGTATAGCCCAGAGAGTGGTGCTTCCAAATGAAAGGCCTCACATGTCTGAACTGAGGAATTGGCAGATACAGAGGAATTTAAAGAAATAACATATGAGCAAGAGCCTATGGTGATGAAGAAGTTCAAGCTGCTTTGAAGGAAATAGCAAAAAATAAGGCCCCAGGAATAGATGGTATACCAGTTGAAGTATTTCCGATAACAGAT